TGAGGGCCCGGCATGCCGCGCACATGAGGCGCGCGCGCAGGCCGGTCTGCCCCGCCGAACGGGGCTGCGCACTTCACTTGTTTCACCGACCTAGCGGCATGGTCCAGTTGGGAGAGCCACAGGGCCAGTCTGGACAGGGGCCCTGCGATGGTGCCGTCGGGCGGTTTGCAGAACCAGCGACCAGGCCTCCGATTCAGGGGGGCAGATTGGCGGGGGTCGCAGTGCAACGACGCCCGCGAACTCCACCCCAGCAGCCGCGGAGCCAACGGGCACCGACAAGCCCGACGCGGCGCAGGGCGGCAGCCATGACTCTGTTAGAGCGCGCGGAACAGCACAGAACGAGGGGTGCCCATTCTATCCGATGCGACAGCTCGGCAGCCAACCTGCGAGGGCAGACGCAGATCGCCGCCGCGGCATCGTCGACGACTCGCGATCGACGCGCGGAACCGGCGGGGCCGGGCCGATCACGGCGCCGCCTTTTCAGCACCAGCTTGGACATGCCCAGCCCGAGGATGATGCCTGCCCGCGCGAGAGGAACCGCCGCAGAACGGCCGACATCGCGGGCGACAGACTGGGGGAGCGGTTTGACCCGCGCGCGCGGTGGCGGAGGCGACCGCCGCCGTCGGACGGCGCGCGCGTTTTTCCCGATTTGTCATTTATGTCCCAGACTTGCGCGAGCCCGATGCGTTCCGCCCTGCGGCCACCAAAGGCTCGGCCAAGTCCTCGCCGCGAAGGCCCAGGGCGACGAGCGACGCCGCCTGCGCGCCCACGGCGGGCGCCAAGTTGACTCAACAAATGAAGCCCGGGCTGTCGTCGCCGCCGCCGAGGGCGAGGGCGGCTTGGCCCGCCCGGGCGCGAGGGCAGTGCGACCGCCAAGTGCGTCGGCAATCGCAGACTACGGCGAGCTACATCTACCAATTAGAGCTAGCAGCATCTCGGCTTGCGCCTAGATGCGCGCGCAGACGGCGGCGTGCGACGGCGCCACCGCGACAATTACTCCGATCCCAAGGTGGCGACCAGGTTTGCCGAAGGGCGACTCAACGCGCGAGCCTGCCGTGGCCCTGTCGGCGCTAGCACAGGAGCTGCGCGACATTGCACTAGCGGCAAACAACGCGCATGCCGAGTCCGTGTATGCTCGCGCGGGGCGCCCATGGAAAGAGATGGCCAGCCCGCTGGCAAAGCGACAGAGCAGAGAAGACGATGCCAACCCACAACTCGATTGGCCGATGCCTCTGGCGCGCAGCACCAGCGACGGCGGGAGTTGCCCCCCGTGCTTTCAAGCGCCGACAGCGGCGGCAACGCCGGTGCACATTCCCACCGCTCAACGAGAAAGACCTGCGACAAAAAACATATAGAACAAGGCGACCCCGCGCGCTCCGGCAAGGGGTGGCGCCGCGAGACTGCCACCCGCTCGGGCGCGCACGCCATTGAGCTGCAGCGCGACATCATTGGGCGCCTGGCCAGCGTCACCAGCAGCATCCAGCATGACCGCACCCCGCCACTATACAAGACGCGCGCCCCGAAGCTCATGGAGGAGGCCATCGGGGATACCAGCGACCCAGAGTCGATCTACGACTGGAACGCCAACCCACGCACGGACGACCGCACGGGACACGACCAGGCGATGATCTACTTCCGCGGATCGCTGGACATCTGCATGGGGGAGTTTACCAACCGACCCGCCAGCCCGTTCAGAAGTCTGGGCGTGACGGACAAACGGCCAGCTTTGGTATGCTGAACAACCCACTTGATCAGCAGCATCACCATTGCCAGGTGGCTTGCACTCGCATCGACCTGCCAAACCAGCGCTGCGCCAAGACGGAGCGGGGGGAAATCTTCACCCGCATCAAGCTGGCTGCGCGCATCCCACGGGCACGCCGACCCCCTTCGCAGCGCCAGTGCACCAGATGAACGACCAGATCAACAGCCAGTGCGGGGCACCGACGGCATTCTCACGGCCCAGCCAATCAGGCCAGGCCCAGACGGCAAGGACGGCCCATTCGACCGCGGAAGGGCCCCGCGAGACGCCAACGCACCGGCAACCGATGCAGCTGGAACCACGCCCCATCAGGGGACTGACCGCAACCGAGACAAGAGCAGCTACCAGTTGCTGGCGGCAGCTGATTTCTGCATCAGAAAGATGTTCCTCGCGATGGATCTGAGATCGGCCAACAAGCGCCTTCGTGAGATTCCACGCATTGCAGGCGCAGTGTACATCCCCGACACCACCGCTGGAAGGCATCGTTCCGTTGCGCACGCCGCCAACACGCGTCGTCTTTACCGACGGCAGCAATAACAAGCTATGACGCCGGGTGCCCCGTCGTTCGCTCCGACGCCACCATGTTGTCGCGGACAGCAAGAGGCATGATGCCACAGCTAAAACGATTGGCAGCGAGGTCCGCGCATTCATGCTGTACGCCCAGCCATGCGATGACGAGGGCGTTGCCGACAGAGCAAGGTGCCCACGCCTGGCTTGGCCTACGCTGGCCCATGCCGTTTGGCCCAACAACATGTTATTTCACAGAAGTCGCCCCCCCCCCCTGTTCTCTCACAGCAGCGGCAGATAAGGCGTGTGCCGCCCTCTTGCCATGTCGGGATGTGCCTGGCAGAGGGCCGGCACTGCGTCATTCCATGCGTCGGCTACAAGTTTTGCTCAAACGGCAACAGAAGACCGAGCTCTCTCTCCCACGACGAAGATTGACACCGCCAGCTATTCCTGGCCCGTCTCCGTCCTCGGTGGTACCTCCGCGCTCACTGTTCTGACAACGGCAGCAACGCCACTGCATCCATCGCAGTCTGAGCCCCCGCAGCTTGGCGACGGCGAGCCCACTTCCATTTGCGCACGCTACTTCTTCCACGCCTTGCACATACTACATCAGGCTACGCAGCCCGCCGCGGCTTCACAACCGCGCATGCTATTCACCCGACGTAGCGCCAGAGCGCCAGCCACCCCCCACCAGCGGGATAGAGCCCTTTCACGCGCCTCCTGGGCCAATGCCTGAATCGCCAGTTGCGAGCTGGGCCCCCCCCAGGCAGCAACGCGAAGAGTTCTTTGTCCGCTGATATGAGAGGGCCGACCCAATTGTCGCTCTCTTGTTGGCCCCCCTTCCACCTGCAGCCCCCGCCCCCTCCCACCTTCTGCCCACCTGACCAACTCGTTGCCCTTCGCGAGGCGGCGGGTCGGCCGGGGGAGACTTCGAGGGGAACAACCAAGGGCCCCGCCAGCGGCCGACCTGGCGAGGGCCGCGTGGGCCGCGGCGCTGGACCACTGCTCCGAACCGCCCTCTGGCCCCACCGTCGCACGCCACTTCGGCCACCCTTCACCAAGCGCGCTTCTGCTTCCCAGCCTCCCTTCGCCAACGAGCCGCCTGTCGTCGAAGCCTGTTGCCTGCCCTTCGTACCGTGTACTTGTGCCGCCAGGGAGCTACTCTGCACGGTGAGCGGGGCGCGTTGACGGGGCAGGCGGGCGGGCGTCTCGCAGCGCTGACGTGACACGGCTCACCTCTCTTTTCGCTCGCCGCCGAGGCGGCCTCCGTCCGACAGGGGACCGCCACCATCGGAGGGCACAAACCTCCTTCAACCTGGCGAGGGCCCGCGGGTGGGCCCCAGTCTTGCCCATGGTAGCCCGTCGCCCGCCATGGCGGGCGAGGGTTCCTTGGCCGCGACTGGGGGCCGATCCTCTCGGGATCTACCGCGCGCGCGAGAGAGAAAAAGGACTGGCGCCACCAATATTTAGGCGAACGTGGCCCCCTACTGCGCCTGCCAACTTGCAGCCGGTTGTGCCACAAGCCAGCCCGTGCCTTAAGACACCGCCTACATGCGCATCAATCCAAAGCGGGGGGGGCGATCCTGATCCGGCAAGGCCCTCGCCCGCCGGCGAGCTGCCGCCGCGGCGGGCGCAAACTTCCCCCGCGGTCGGTGGAACCACCAGTCCTTCGCTCGGGAAACCTAGGCTTGCGCGCTGGCGAGGGCCCCCGCCGCAGGAATTCTAAACGCGTCGCAGGAATTCCGAAAAGCAGGGGGGGAGCCCCTTGCGCCTTCCACCTGGGCGACTGTGGCCACGTCGCCGCACGGCCTCAGCCCAGCCCCACGCCTATGCCTCCCTCCTCTTCGAGATGTTCTACTTGTTTTCTGTTATTTCCCCCTCTCCTCCTTCTTATGGTTTTGTTTGTTTTACTTTGCAAGCTACCGCCGGCGACGCCAGGGGCGACCGCCCCTGACGTCGCCTGGTTCACCAGTTTCTACCCCCCCCAGCGGGGCCCACCAGCCCTGGGAGGGCATGGCCGCGTAGGCACGACTCCATGGCCGAGAGAGAGAGAGAGAGGAAAAAAAAAAACAGACAGAGAGAGAGAGAGAGACAGAGAGAGAGGGACGGAGGGAGGGAGAGAGAGAGAGAGAGAGAGAGCAAGACAGAGAGAGAGAGAGAGAAACTTAACAAACAAACCAGACGCATTAAAAACACAAGCGAGGGAGAAACAAAAGACAGGAGGAGGAGGACGCACACCTCCGAAGGTTTGGCATTTTCGGGGAGCGGGCTTTGGAGCTCTCTACTCCTTCCCCGAGCCACGTTTCTCGTCCTGGGCTTCTTGTTGACCGCCCTGGGATTCGAAAAGGCCTCTGGAAGGGGCCACAATTGCGAATGGCCGCCAGCGACGACCTTTCAACAAATCGCCAGCGTCGGGCTTGGCCTTGCCGCCCCCAGCGAGCCGACCAGGAATGTCCCCCCTCGCGGGGCCCCTGTGGCTCTAGGCCTCCTGGATGGGGTCTGAGCAGATAGGGTCGGAGGATCGCGCCGCATCGCCGATGCATCGGCGATGTGGCCCGATGTGAAACCCGATTTTCTCCACGCCGACGTCGCCGACGCATCGCCGACGTCGCCGATGCATTGCCGATGAATCGCCTGTGTGACAGTGATGCGTTGGCGATGCGGCGCGATCATCCGACCCCATCTACTCGGACCCCATATAGGATGCCTCTCCTCTGGCCGCGACCGACTGGAGGAACTCTTTGGTGGGCGCCACGGAAAGCATCTCCGGCCTCTCCAGCCTCTTTCTGGCCATCCCCGTGGGCTTGCTGGTAGACAGGCCGCGCGCGAGCCGCCGCGGCCACAGAGGAGGAGGAGGAGGAGGAGGAGGAGGAGGAGGCGGAGGCGGAGGCGGAGGCGGAGGCGGAGGAGGAGGAGGAGGAGGAGGAGTTCTGGAGTTCTGGGTATGGCGACAGTGTCTGTTACTTCGTAGCAGCTTACCCCTGCTGCTTCTTTCTGACCAGTTCGGCTTTACTACGAACTTTAGGCCAGAGACCACGGGTGATTCTATCAAGACACACTCTACGATTACCATTAACGACATCACTACACACTGCTCCGAGCTGTCTCAACTGTTCGGAAGCGAAACAGCCGCATGCAGTACAAAACCAGATGCCCAACCCCGAATGGAATCTGAGTATGTGTGATGTGTGAGCGTAGCCCCCCGAAATGTGCACCCGCGCGCCAGAGGGAGGTCGCCAGACAACACCGTCCACATTAATTAAGGAAAAACAAGGTGAACTCATCCACTCGGTTTTGCGAGCATGAGACGCAAAACCCTGACACCTGGAATAGCTCTTGGAGTTTTCCTGGAGGCAATGCTGGGTCATGAACAGGGCACAAACACTGGCCGCTGGCGGCCTTACAACAGAAGAAACATGTTGCTGACGCCTACGCCTACGCTGGCTCCCCTCGGCGACCTCGAGGTTTTCCTCAGCAAGGATGGCCTCAAGGGTGCTCTGGAGAATACGCATGCGGACTGCGAAAGCTTGCTGTTCAACTAAATGTATGCGTGCACGTTCTGCCTCTGGCAATCTGCCTTTAGCGGCTCCTGCCGCTGCAACGTTATCTGCATAAATATTACCTAGCACGAGATTACGGGGAGCGACTCCTTGGACTATGTGCTCACCCTCCAAATGGGAGTGAACGAAAAGCACGGTGCAGGATATCGCTTCCCCTCGCTGCTGCAAAATCTGACCTATCTGCCACCAGAGGTCTGCGTCAGGCCCAGTGGGGAGCAACCAGCGTCTCAAGTGCCAGCCTGCATTCACGGTATCGTTGTCCGTGACATAAACGACCGAGCCTGACGCCTGACGGATACAAACATGAGACAGTAGAGCTCACCTCTCACCACAATTTGCCTGGCGCCAGGGAGGGGGTTCCACAAGCCGAGGTTTAAATCCATACTGGAAACATCCTGGAACACTGCTATTCCTAGGCCAACGCGGCGGAGGAGGGGCTGATGAGTATCCTTCCCCCCGCTCGCGTCACCGAAAACGAAAACAGATGCCCACTGCTCGGCCTCGGGGGGAGCAGAAACTTGCATCCAGGCCCCGGGGATCAAACCTCGAGTCCAAAAACATTCCTCGGCTTCAGCCTGAATGTACGCCTTTGCTACTAGATCTTCGCTAAGTTTATACACGGGGCGCTGGGATCTGCAGCTGCACCCCCAGACGCGATGAAAACTAGTCTCTGGGGCAATCTTACACCTCGGACACTTCAATCCAACGTTTGCCGACAACGAGTCTGGCGACGACTACGGGGCCAAGCCGCGCCCGCTGCCGCCGCCAAGAGGAGTCCCGCGAGGCGTCGGCCGCCTGACGCCTGCTCCAGCTCCTTGAGCAGGCGTCGGTAGGAGTGATTGCACACTCCTGCCTCCAAGCCCGCTCCGCCGAAGTGCTGCGCCGCGGCCGACCACATGTTTGTCTCGATGGTGCTCCGAAACTCGTTGAAGAAAGCCTCAGGTATGTCTAATACTGGATGTCCTGTCGTGCTGATGGTGTTGAACTGCCACTCTGAGCTGCCGTCGGGAAGTGTCCACGCTGAGGGCGAATCGGGCTTGCACCCTGCGTCGAGGAGGTACGCGATGGTAGCACTCTGTGGCCCACGTATGTGTCGGCACCGTCTTGTGGCAGGCATAGCTGTAAGATCTGCATCCACGGTAGACCATGTGCGTGTGATACTTGCTCGTAGGAACTGCTGCGAACTCCACATGGCCAACCACATGCGCAAGGTGTCGCACGGTTGTTTATATCGAGGGTCGCGATCAGGGGCACGTAGGTCCAGCAGCGTTGTGATGCACCTTCTTGTGAGCCGTGGTCCGACCGAGTTGGCAAGTTTGCGTCTGATCGGCTTCATCTGCGCTCCCCATACACCGTGCAGCTGATGGCCATGCAGCCCTGCAGGTTGAGCTCCTTGGAGCTCGAGCCGAGCGGGTGCACGGTAGCGTCGTAACGCCCGTGCAAAGCCCGTGATCTTCTCGGACATGGTTGTGTGCTTCTTCGCCCGAGCTCGTCTGGTGGCACGACCATGCCGCCTGCCGCCTGAGAGGTCAGCGCCCAGGTAGGCGGCCTGGGAGGCGACCTTGAGTTGGAAACCTCTGGCGGCTACTCGTCGCACCACCATCCTTGCATCGGCCACGAACGTGCAAACGACGACCGGTTTGGGAGAAACCTTCAGCCCGTGGTCTTGTAGTTGCTGGCAAGTGCCCACCAAGCAATCAACAAGTTGATTGCGAACTGCAACCCGTGACCCACGGACTGTTTGACTGAAGTCGTCCACCCGTAACCGATGGGACATAGTGGAATGGCATGTTGTGATTCGTTGAAGGATGTGAAAGGTAGCGCACTTACCGAAACGCGTGCCAGATCTCAATCCCTGCACAATGGAACGTGTTGGCGCACAAGGCGCCCCATATGCTCCAGCTTGTCTCACACATCTGGCTGCCATGCATTGCTGAAGCTCCAGTCCTATTACTTCAGGTGGAAACTCCAATCGTAATGCTGCTTTACCCATGCGATACCAGCCTACGGTATCATAAAAACTTGCAATATCAATCATACCATTGCCCATGGATGCTCCAAGGCGGGTCGATAATTCTTCGTCAATTGATCAAAGGAAAACTTCACGTAGGGCCGCATTGCCCTTCATTGCTGCATCCCAGTGCGCCTCGCACTGGTCTGTCCATGTGCGAACATGCTCCTCTCTCGCCTGGGGCCATGTGCGACCTAGATGTGGCAAAAGGCCGATCACGCGGTCCCCAGCAGATTTCTTCGGGAGAAGTGTGCCGAGCGCGAGGAGCACTTGGTGGGGCCACACCTGGTGGAACTCGCAAATGGTGAGGATGCCCGCGAGCTCGGCGATGGCTGCATCAGGCAACCTGTCGTAGTCCAGACTACATACTCTGTCGACGCCCATGGCTGATGACGGCTTCATCCTCCTGAGCGCAGCGCGGACATCTGCGACCTCCAGCGGTGCTAGAGATTCGCCTCGCACTCGTTCACGGATTTCTCCGAACAACTCCACTAGTAAATCGTAGTCGTGAGTTGCGAGGTCAGGGCGCCATGAACTCTCAAACTGCTTACTCCTGGCGTCAAGAATGTCACGCGGGTGTACCAGCGTGGTTGGGCTTACCTCGGGCGTCTCAGAGGGTATGGGGATTTCCTTGATTGCGCGATGCAGAACACCAACCGCTGGTGCCGACCCCGGCCATTCACGAAATTATCTTAGTGACTTCTGAATCGCCCTCTGCTGGCTTCGTCGTGCAAGACGCGTGGCAAACTCCACTAGCCCGCCGAGGTCGGTGTCGGTCAGGTCGGCGATACTCTGAAGATACTTTTTCCATTGTGCCCACTTGAAAGGATCACTTCGTCGAATAACTCTGTGGCCCTCCTCAGGGCACTGTAGGCACAAGCTATTGAGGGCCTGTGTCAATATCTGTACTTGTTTGTCACCGTTTTGCCGCCGACGATGACTGCGAATGCTGTTGAGGATGTTCGAAACTCGAGTCCACCAGCCTGCAACTCGGTCGCGGAGAGGGGTTACACGCTGCGGCTTGGACTGGTGGGCTTCGCACACACGGAACTGAAATGCTCGACCGCGGCTGACCAACGGCTCGGGCTGCTGATGGCGCTCATGGATAGCATACTCAATTGATCTAATCCAGCTACAGCATAAGGAACTGCTGTGTGGAGACGCGGCTGAAAGAGAACCCAGCCGAAAAGCTACGGAGGAAGCGACAGCAGCCGCAGGGGGATTGGACGCGCACGGAGAGAACCCTATTTTTCTCTTGGCCTGGACCCATGCCTCGTGCGAGATGTCAAAGCTAACGGAGCCTGGGGTGTCAGGGGCTCAGAGCTCACCGAGTTGGGTGGGACTTGGTCCTGCCGGCTATCCCTAGGCTGCGCGGGGCACAGGGGTCGCTCACACGCGGTTGAATTAACACTAGCTGGGCCACTCGACTGAGACTGGGTATGCTCATGCTGCTGCTGATTCACAAAGAGAGGCTGGGCGGCGGGGCTGGCGGGGCCGAAGTTGGGCTCGTTGGCCCAGGGGTCGCAATCGAAGTCATCGTCCACGCAGCCACCCCCGTCGAGCGAAATGCGGGACGCAACCTCTTCTTCAGACTCAGCCTCGCCCTCGCTCAAGCCCTCAACCTTTTCATTCGTGAGCGCTTCACCGAACCACTCCTGAATTCGGGCATTGCGCTTCTCGAGCGCCATTGCCCTAGTAGCTTCACGCTCGACTTTCCTAATGCTAGACTTGGAGCCTGTGATAGCTTGGTGCCCAGGCCTGGCCACGTTGGGGAACCTGGGTGCAAGTCCTAAAATCCGGGTAAATAGCTGGCTAGCTTCCCCAACCAGGTCCATGTGGAGGCCTATGTGGGGACGCCGAGGCACATCGCACACAGCATGCACGGCGCGAACATATGGTCGCGCGGCTGCACTGACATCTAAATAATCTAAGTGAGACGCTTTGTTATCCCCCCCAGGAGTACACGTGAAATCAGCATCACAACAGAGGACCTGGCCCCCTACCTTCTCGAGAAAACCTGCCCGAGCTAACGATGCGGGAGTGAAATTCCAATCGGCAGCGACGATCCGCGGGAGTTGGAGAGAGGCGAGGAGGGAAGCGAGCTTCCGAAACCTGGGAGCATTCTGATCACGCATGCCATTGGACGAATGGCCGTAACAGGCGAGCACAACAATGGCATATCCTTTCAGCTCGAGCAGCACTGGGCAGAAGCCGTCGAAACCACTGCCACGTTCAGCTCTCAGGCCC